ATTCTCCCACTGAGCTTGATGATGTTTCATATGGTTGTGTGGGTACCCCCTTGGAGTTCACTCTGAGAGCTGTACTTGTCGCCCTCCCACTCATCCCTACCTTTCCCATGCGACTGAGCTCCTTGTCTTCTATTCAGCTATTGTGCACTTGTACAGGGCACGTGAGGCTGTGCCAAATTCTTTTTCGGTATGGATATTGATGTAGTTACTATTTAGGCTTTAGGGCTCATGTGTTGACTTATGGGGTCGACTCAAACCAGACATTGTTGTATAGATTAGGCTTGAGGCTTAGTCTGCATTGCATCTCTTTTTCTGCACGGAGCTTGCTCCGCATTTAGGATTGTTTGTTGGCCGCTCCTTTGGGTTTCCGCTATTTCAGCGGATAGCGTGTTGATGTATCGTTTGATCCATTTACGGGTCCGAGGATCATGTAGCGGTACCCTTCGGCCTGACAGTGAGGCCGGACCTGTTTCAGCCCGTCGGCCTGACCCCGGTTCGGTACCGGGTTACTCCGGCCTGGACCAAGGCCGATATATCTCTCCGGCCTAGGCACGGGCCGGGTTGGTCACTCATTCAGTGGTTCACTCGTTCATTGAGCCGGACTGGACCTTCACTCGGCTGCTGCTTCTCGTGTGTGTCCATCTCCTCTCTCTCTCTCTCACACACACACACACACACACACACACACACACACACACACACACCATCTCCACACGTGCCACCTACACGTGCGTCACACCCAGGTAGGCTGGCAACCCTAACCACTTCCCCACGAGGGTGAGGAGCCTTTCCTCCAGGAGAGATCGGTCTCTAGCTCAGCAACAGGCAGATGAAGTGCGACTGCTGACTCGAATGACAAGATGACAACAAGGTCTCCAAGAAAATACGTGGGAAGGTACCATTCACAACAAAATTCAAATTGCATAAACGACAGGGTCAGGGCAAAGAAGCACTTCACTGTTTGAACGTTCCGTCGATGAAGCTCCTCGATCATACGTGAGTACTCCTCTTGGTCCTTGCCGTGGCCCTTCTTCTTCGGTCCTGAACATGCAGTCAACCCTAATTTCTTTATTGTATTTGTCCCCGCCGGCCTTTTCATTGCCAGCGTTTCAACTCCAAGCAGATGCAGCGGGAATCAGCTCCCATGCCACTGAAATGGCCAAGTACTCGTCAAGCTCATCCTCGCATACATCAATGAACATTCACATGAGAGTTCACACGTGAGAAGCCAAATCGAGATACAATCGACACTTGAAGACGCCGTCTCCAATATTATTATCAATATACAAGAATGTTTGTCTCCAGCGACGCTGCCGCACACACACCCACAACGGATCCCAACCAGGTGGCGGCTATGGCTTTTCTCCCTTCCCTACCTCTATCTCTGTTACCTGCCCAGTTGGGCAATGTACGTATAGCCAAGGATCTGCAATGTGATAAAAAGGACTGAATGGACAATTCGGTGTTAGTGGAATCCCAACAAGCAATGTACATCCTGATACATACAAAATGGCACCTTGTAGCGCAGTGGAAGACTTAGATACAAGTCCTGACCTGACCGGGACTGACCTCTCTCACGTAGTACAAGACAGCGCAGCGGAATGCTAGAATACCAATGACTAGCCCAATCAATGTCGCAATGCAGACCTAACATACATCATCCTCATCACAAGGTGTGAAGGGGGCCTGGCGCTACACACAGGAAGAATGCGCCAGGTCCAGACCATACACAGACGAAGAGGAGGGGATCAGACAAAGAAGAGGGGGAAGATGGGAATGTCATCAACACCAAGTCTTYGGTACAAGTCCCAGATAATCCTTMGTCAAATATCTGAAGCCCAATGTCGAGTCTGGATCCAAATGTCACCAATCCCTCTCTCTCATAGTCTGCTGATGCAGTGAAGTCGGGTAGCGAGAGGGTGAGGGGGAGATGGTGGACTGAGAAGAGGAAGAAGAAGAACTCTCTCTCTCTCTCTCTCTCTCTCTCTCTCTCTCTCTCTCT